CAAAATTGTGTGCGATTGACATGGCTTTTCAAACTGAGTATCTCTCTTTGTAACATGTTCCATTTGGTCTTTGGAAAATTCTTAATTGTATGCTGCACACACACCCATTTGCTGTCTTTTCAGTTAAGTTTATACTTCTAAACACACTGTTTGTAGTCTAAAATTTAACACATTAGTTTATGTTCTAGTCCAACATTTTATTCTTTAATTATAAGAGACCACCTAATGAAAATATGTTTCTTTCAGTAGATTAGCCTGTGTTTTTTTTAAATAACAAAACAAAAAACAAGCCACCTAGCTTTCCTAGCTGTGACAGGTGTCTGTTTTCAAAAAAATAATCTTAAACAAACTACCAGTCTTTCATAACTGAGTGCATTAATTACTTCACCTTAAAATATGTATAAGATAATGCCTTAAATTCACAGGGCAAAAAGAGCAAATGCTTGCAAAAGATTAAAAGAACACAATTTACAGATATTGGCAAAAACTTAGAACTCCAGCTTCTATGAACTTTCCCAAATAAATCTATAAAGCTCATAATACAGTGCCTGTTACTTAGAAAGTATATACTCAGCAAACCATAGCTATTTATCTTCTGTGTCAAGAATTATTTCCACAATTTGAATCAAGTGTTATATGGAACTTTGTACCATGATTTTATCTCTTAATAATCTTAAATTCAAACTCTTATAATACTTTATGGTAACTTATCTCATAGAAATTACAGAATGGAAATCAATGTTATCTCTGATTCTATGAAATGAACTAGATTTATGAATTGGGAGCAGCACCCAAACAACATAATGACTACTACTACTACAAAAAAAAAAAAAAGTCAATATTTTGAAAACTAATTTTATTACAAATGAAGTAATTTTTCAAAATTTAAAAAAGTTAAAATAGAAATTTTTAAAAACTATAGATAAAAATGTCATTGTCAAATCCCCATGTTGTTCTTACTGAAATTAACTAAAGGTAATTTCATATAATAATATTGTCACTGATGTTTTAATAATCAAAACTCTAACAGCTGAGAAAATAAATTGTGTGTATGTTTCAATTTTGCACCTATGTTATTATCAGCCTCAGGTAGTAAGCTTTACTCAGGATAGCAATCCATCAAAAATGCATCCTGAATATTTACTAAATTACTATACTATTTGACTTCAATCTCCTATCTTAATAGTTCTTCACTCCTTTTTCAACTCCTATCCTTTAACCTCACAGAGCTATCCACCACTTTAATCTTTTTATTTTTTCTCAGTTTACTGGTCCCTTTTCATTTTGTTCTTTAGCCAGCTTGAAACTAATGACTGTTCATTTGAACTATTTGCTCACCAATGTCTTTGATTTCTTATAGTGCAATTCTTCAGGTGCAACTCTTCAGCAAAATCCAAATCCAAATCCCGGGTAAATACTGCATCTGGTCTCTCTCAACTCACACCTAGGGAATGAAGCTCTGTGGGAAAGGAACTCACACACACTAAGAGCAACTTCTAAGTAGTCAGTTTCCACACTCAGCTAGTCACTGTCCTTTAATCAACTTCCCCTCTCATTTCCCTCAAAAAACTTCTCAATCATCACCATCTGCCTCCAAGTCCTTAGTTGTCTTTAGCTCCTCATTTTGACAGGTTAGATAGCCCTCAGTCTCCTAATAAAATTGAGGTCATTAGGTGTGTTCTCCCTGCATAGTTATACCACAGCCAGACCTAGAAAGCAAACCCACAGTCACAGCCATCCTCACCCTATGCCTTTTTCCTACTCTCTTCAGTTCTGCTCTCCCATCTATAGCAGAGGTTGGCAAACCTGTGGGTCAAATCTGGCTTGCTACATGTTTTCATAAATGAATTCTTATCAAAAACAGCCATGCCAATTTGTTTATATATTTTCTGTGGCTGCTTCAATGCTACAAGGGCAGAGTTGGGTAGTTGGGTAGTTGCTACAGATATCTCATGGTCCTCAAAACCTAAAATATTTACTATCTAGACCTTTACTGGAAAAGTTTCCTGATCTCTGATTTATATCCTTGACATCCTCCTCTTTCCTAAATCTTTTCCTTCAGCCTGAAAATATGGTCAACCATGTTCTAGTCTAAAAATGTTAGTTTAGGGTGTTTTGGTTTTTTATTTTGCTTTGCTCCAACTCTCTCTAGGTGTATACCAATTTCTCTCTAGCCTTTCTCATAAAACTTCTCCAGGGAGTATGTCATATTCTCTTTATCCACTTTTTTTTTTTTATTTCTTTTTTCCTGTAACCTGATTTTTGCCCTACTACTTTGTTGACATTTGCTCATATTAAAATTAATGATGAGCTTCTATCTGTCAAAGTTAAATTTTAAATGTCTAATCCTAAACTAATTGACTCATCTTTAGGCACACTCCCCTTAAAACTCTGTCATCCAGCATTCTTAGCAAAGGATCATTTCTAGAGGCTTCCAACTTTATGCTGTCACTAACTGGAATTACTCTTAATTATTATGTTATTATTATACTCTTAATGTTATTATACTCTTAATATATTATTATAACCTTAATAATTATATGAAGTTGTTGCTTCAGATATAAGGGATTAATTTTACTACTCCAGTCTGAGAAAACTAATCAAGTCACCACAATATTGTAGTAAATGGGAGAAGAAAAGCTACTGGAGATATCAGTTAATACACAACCTCCACCCTCACCATATAGGATGCAAACAAATACTTGCCCTTGAAGAACACATTCGCCCCAATTACCCTTCCTTCTCTCTCTTCTAGGGTCATCACCATTGTCTATTCACTAGCGAAAACTGACCAAAAGATGCCCAAGACACCTTGGAGTGCAAGGCTTTCTCAGTTATCTCCTAAAGTGAAGAATAATAACCACATAAGGAACACAGGGCCTTTATTTCTCTTGGAAAATTGACATTCCTATGGACTAATGATAAAAATGTTTCTGGAAAATGCGTGAGATACCCTTTTAGAGATGCAGATGATTAATCACAATTTAACTTCTTATAATGATGACTGGCACAGGATATGCAAATAGAAATCAAATGTAGAAACCAACAACACATGTTCACTTATTTAATATGGAACTTCCATATTCTTGAATATAAACCAGTACATTAATGAGCAAAAGTATAATAAAATTGAAAGAACATAATCAGCTTTCTTTTAGGGTAGGAAGACAGCTAGTTAGGATTCTTCCTCACTTATCAATTAAAAGAGCCATGAAACTAACAAGGAGAAACAAATATGCAAAATCACTGATAATTGCAGTCAACATTTTACAAGTACCTGGAAGGGGGAAAAAACCCCTTTTTAATTCTATTGTGGTAGGGATGAATTAACTGTCTCTATCTGACATATTTTTTGATTTTTAAAACTAAATAAAATCAGTTAGAAAGCTAGTGGAAAGACACATATGTTGACTTCTACTCTATATCCCTATCAAAGATTCATGGGATCTTTCCCTCTAAGTAAAGCAGCATAGCAGCCATGGATCTCACATGGGAAAGCTCTTTCAGATTAGAACAGAGATATCCCTTTCTCATACCTCTACCTCACACTCTGTCGTCCCACAAAATCTCAATTTTGGGAAGGACTTTAATATTGATGCTCTGATGTCCCACCTAAGTACAATTAAGATGTAAAGGTTGTAATAATACAATTAATAAGGTAGATGTAATAACCATGAATGAAAACTTTTATCCCATAGAAAATATACCTTTTTTTTCCTCCAAATTTCTGGTTTAATAAGGACTTTTTATTTTGAGGAAAAGAGGTCCCAAACATCAAGCTGTTCACAAAAATAACCCACAGTATCAACTTTAGAAAACAAATATTAAGACTGTAACACTATTTTTCTAGAGGATGCATTTGACAGGCCAACTCTCATTCACAAAAATACATTGTTACATTTGTGTTGAACCTCCCCACACATCACACTTATGTGGGGGTGTAACACACATACTTGTAACTCAAAGCTGCTTTCAGGAGCTACTCAACTAAATGAGATTGCCTTTACAGTCACAGAAGCAGCTACTGAACTTATGTATGAATGAAAAAATCTGTACTCCCTGCATAACAAGAGATTATTCTGGAGACTGTTGATGAAAACTATACATCCTTTTTATTAAGTCATAAAGATGTATCAAAATTAAAAGCAAAAATTACATTCTTAACAAAACTAGTAGGAGATTCAAAGGAAGTGAAAATGGTACTAGGCGCAGGGCAATAAGAATTAATGAACATAGGAAGGACAAGGATGAGGAGAACAGTGAGCATGTGCTGAAGATACTAGGAGAGTGTGTGTCCGGAATTGGTGGGTTCTTGGTCTTGGTGACTTAAAGAATGAAGCCGCGAACCCTCGTGGTGAGCATTACAGTACTTAAAGATGGTGTGTGTGGAATTTGCTCCTTCAGATGTTCAGACGTGTCCGGAGTGTCTTCCTTCTGGTGGGTTGTTGGTCTGGCTGACTTCAGGAGTGAAGCTGCAGACCTTCACGGTGAATGTTACAGCTCTTAAGGCGGTGAGTCTGGAGTTGCTCCTACCTCCCAGTGGGTTTGTGATCTGGCTGGCTTCAGAATTGAAGCTGCAGACCTTTGCCATGAGGGTTACAGCTCATACAGGCAGCATGGACCCAAAGAGTGAGCAGCAGCAAGATTTAGTGCAAGGAGCTAAAGAACAAAGTTTCCACAGTGTGGAAGGGGACCCAAGCGGGTTGCCACCACTGGTTCTGGCAGCCTGCTTTTATTCCCTTATCTCACCCCACCCACATCCTGCTGATTGATCCATTTTACACATTGCTGATTGGTCCATTTTACAGAGAGCTGATTGGTCCGTTTTGACAGGGTGCTGATTGGTGCGTTTACAATCCCTGTGCTAGACACAGAGTGCCACTAGACACAAAAGTTCTCCAAGTCCCCACTAGATTAGCTAGACACAGAGCACTGATTGGTACTTTCACAAACCTTGAGCTAGACACAGGGTGCTCATTGGTACCTTTACAATCCTCCAGCTAGACACAAAGTGCTGATTGGTACATTTAAAATCCTCCAGCTAGACATAAATGCTGTAGGAGTCCCCACCAGATTAGCTAGATACACAGTGCTGATTGATGCATCCATAAACCTCGAGCTAGGCACAGAGTGCTGATTGGTGCATTTACAATCCTCCAGCTAGATATAAAAGTTCTCCAAGTCCCCACCTGACTCAGGAGCCTCAGGCATAGCTGGCTGCAGGTCCTGAGACCAGCCCCATGGGGAGGCAGCTGAGGCCCAGTGAGAGTAAGGTGTGGGCGGGTCAGTAGTGCTCAGGGACCCCGTGCACCCTAGGCAGCTGCTGGCCCCGGTGCTAAGCCCCTCACTTCCCAGGCCAGCGGTGCCCACCGCTGCTCTGAGTGCAGGGCCCGCCAAGTCCATGCCCACCCGAACTCACTCACTCACGCTGGCCAGCGAGTGCAGCCGGCAGCCCCAGTTCCCGCCCACGCCTCTGCCTCCACACCTCCCAGCAAGCAGAGGGAGCCAGCTCTGCCTCGGGCAGCCCAGACAGGGGCTCCCACAGTGCAGCAGCCGGCTGAAGGCTCCTCAAGTGAGGCCAGAGCAGACGCCAAGGCGGAAGAGGCACCAAGAGCCAGCAAGGGCTGCCAGCACGCTGTCAGCTCTCAAGAAGATCTGGTGAAAAATTTGATCTTAGACAAGTGCCTAGGTAAAGAAATAATGGTATAAGATTTCTAAACCCCACTATGTGCTTCAGAGTCATCCTCACCATTGGCGCTGTCTCCGTCATCCTCTCCTTCCTCAGCCTCTTTGTCTTCATCCTTGATCAACTCCAGCTGGTCATCCCCCCAGTCTTCATTATCATCATCATCCAGTAGGTCCCCCTCCTCAGCAGGGTTATCTGCACCCCCCTCAGACTCCAACTTCAAATTAGTCTCATCTTTCTTCAAGGAGCTGCTGCTCTGCTCCGCTTCTGACTTGTTTTTCATCTCTACTGCTTGTTTGCTCTGTTCCTTTTCAATTTTTTCCAGGTTTTCCAGGAGATAATCCATTTTTTGTTTTATCTAGGCCAATTCCTTCTTAACTGCCTGAAGGTCATCTCCTTTCAACTTTCCAGACTTGGAAGATACCCGCTGTCCACTCTTAGAATTGAAGCCACTTTTTTCCCTTCTTGAGGTGTTTCCTGATACACACGGATGTTTCAAGGGCACTACACCTCCAGCAATAGGAGGAGGAGGAGGTACACGTGCTGAGTAACTGTACCTCGTATTACAATAATCCCGCTGAAAATCATAGTCCAGGTCAAAAGAAGAGCGCTGCATCGCTGCAGATTGTTTCACGCCTGCTTTTCCTCCGTTCAGTTTTGGTGCTGCAGTCAGGTTAATATCTAAAACCTGACCAGCAATCATTCTGCCATCCTCTCCTGCTACAGCAGCCTGGGCATTTCTCTCATTAACATATTGAACGAAGCAAAGCCCTTATGAACAGAGCAGCCCACAATTTTGCCATACTTCGGAAAGATTGCCTCCACATCAGATTTCTTGACCACAAGAGTGTTGAGATTCCCAGTGAATACACGGCTGTTCATGGAACGAGGATCTATCTTGTTGGTAACGTTGCTGGCCATTGTGTTTGATGATAGGGTTTCTCAGAAAGCCGAAAATGTAGCTGAAGATCCAAAAAAATCTCATAGGAGTGGGGAGGGAGAAGAGATCTGATTCTGAGTCTCATACTCCTGGGTTCTAGGTGGAGAACCCGACTGCTGTTCGAGGTGGGTATTGCGGCCACAACTGCTCAGTCTTTTTCTCTTCACAAAAAGAAAATATGCCTTCTTTTAACACATCATGGAACTATACAAAATTTTATCATTTATTATGTCACAAAAAGTAGGTATATATTAAAGGCAAAATTCTCTGACCACAGTGATTTAAAGCTAGAAACTAAAACTAGCCTAAAACTAATGTGTTGGAATAAAACTAAGTACATCCTAGCCTTTCAAAAATTGCATAAAAAGGAAATAAAATCGACCACTTAGTCATAAAATAAGAATGTAATATATTACATTTATGGGACACTTTCAAACATATTCAGAGACTAATTACTAGACTTAAAGCACTATGGTTATTTCTGAAAGAATAAAAATAAGGTGAGTCTATATATCAAGATATTAGAAAAAAATGCAATCAAAATAAAAATAGAATGAAACAGTAAAAAGAAAATTAGAAAATAATTACAGCACAAAAACTAGTAAGAAACAGAACACTTGGTTCTTAAAAGAGACAATGAAATAGATGAACTTCTCACAGATCTAATGAAGACAAAAATAATATATACGTTGGGACTAAGGAAAAGAATATAACCACAAATACAAAGAAACTATTTTAAAATGGTAAAGGAATTTTATATATATATATGTTACTCTGGATTACCTACAAACATAAACTAGGAACTATAAAACATAAGGAGGATGCTTTGTCACAAAAGCAAAGACTAGGGTTTGGATGCAAGCTATACTGTGTACTAGTTACCGATAAGTTACTCAACTGCTTTGAGCCACATTTTCTTTGTCTGTAAAATAAGAATTGAAAATATCTTTAATAATAATGTTTTCAGAAGTATTGCTTATGTCATTGTCATCATTGTTGTAATTCTCTTTTCTTCCTCCTCATTATTAATATTCACCCCCTTGGAGGAAAACTTGATATGTACCCGAACAAGTTGAAACTTAAAAGCTATTTTCCCAACCAATACTTTAATCCATCCATAAGAACCAGGTGCAATGCATACCATTTACCTTACTACTTATTTTTCTCCAAATGCAAGTATTAGTAACATTCATTGCATCTGAGAATATAAAACCTTAATGACATATCCTCCAAGGGAAAAAACTCTTGCCCAACTTATAAGACTTGCAAGGATTGATTCCACTTAATAATGAACGTAGTGCTCTTAGAGTTATATAATTGTCATTAAACACATAGGTATCAAATTTAAAGAAAACCAAGAAGCAGAGCTAAACAACGTCGACACTAAAAAAATGAAAAGTTAGGAATTTTTTTCTCTCACTTATCAGTAAACCTGAAGGCTTAATATAAGCCTGGAAGATTCTAAAAACAAGAAGGATGCTTTATTTGTATTAGTCCTTAAAAATCTTAGAATGAGTTAAAAATAAAAAACAGTAAAACTGGAGCTCTCAGATTTATGTATGTCCTTAGGCTTTTTCTTACAGTTTTAATGGGGATTATTATTGTCAGAGTAAAGTGAAATGGGAAAGCAAAATGTAAAATTCAATTTGCAACCTCTAACATTTTCTTATTTTAGACCTAAGTAACAGTTATTACCAACTTAAAATTTGTGTAACAGAATCTATCCAGGGAAACAAAAACAAGCCATTTTGGTGCACAATTGCAAAATGCCAAAAAAACTAATAACTTTGTCTACTTATCTTCTTGTATTAAGATTTTGACCCATTTTGAATTCATTAATATAAATATTTAAAGCACAAGATAATAGAGAGATTAAATAAATACACAGACAGAATATAGTTTTCTACTCTCAAGAAACTCACAGAAGATTTCAGTGGAAAAGAGAAAAATCAATTATAAAACTATGTAATAAAGGTATACTGTACCTATATATCTATATACTATATTCTATGTATCAGAGGATGTTCTATATAATATATACGATAGAGATATATTTTAAAACACTAGTAACTTAGCGTCAACATATAGATTGCTAAGTGCTTCATTTATATTATTTGATATCCTCACTAAACTCTTGCATGTTAAGAATTATTATGCCCACTTTACAAACATAAAATTGAAGTTTATGGAGTTTGGTAATATAATAAAGCCAAGATTAAGGTATCAACACTCATACCCTTTTGGCTATCCCACTGTCTTGGTTAAATTAAGATAACCCGAGAATTTGTCAAATCCTGAGGTGACAAAATATGTATATATACACTGTTCTAAGATTCTGGATCTTTACCATGTCTTTGTTTCTGCATTTAAAAGTGGATGATAATTAAACTGTCCCCATTAATTTCAGGGGGTTGATGGGAAGACCAAATATGAGACAGTTACTGAAAAGTAGACACACAAAGTTAAGGCATTTATAAAAGGAGATGCAGGATTACAGTGATGAAGCTCTTCCTCAGCATTAGAAACTAGGCCAAGCAACCCAAGAACCAGGAGCTAGTTATAGGGTGGGAAATGTATCTGACGCACATTTTACTTATTTAAAATATTTTAAACATGACAACCTTTGTTAAACAACCTCAAGGTAAACGGCAGCAAAACTGTTTTTGTATCTAATTACTGCTAGAGTAACAATTAAAACACAGACCAAGTAGAAAACTGTGTAACTTTTTTCCTCAGAATTCAATCGGCAAAGACTAGAGATTTGCATAAATGCAGGCCTCCAAAGCAACTTTTTCCCTCTGCAGCACATTCCTGAAGCCCAAACAAAATGAATAATTGCCTTGACTCTTCATTGCATGTTGTCTATATAGCCATCATCTTCCTTTAAACGTGTAGAAAAAATAGTACTGCTTGTTAGCAGAGAGAAAATCATCTAAGACATTTGTAAGTGCTCTGTTGTCTCTATTCCTATTATAACCCTCTCCATACTGGCTTAAGTTTCATGAACCTACTCCCCTTGGAATTCTGTCCTTTCTGCAAATACCTTTTTCCAAGTTTTGTTTTAGGCTTTCCTAATGTATTTTCAGGTCTCTCGGGTGACATAAATTCAGGTTTCTCAAAATGTCTGCAGAGGGACTAAAGTTATTCCTTCTAAGGGGGAAGTGAATTCTGTCAAAACAAATCATACATCAGGAAGTAGATAAATAAGAAAAATCAGATAGTAAAATATTCCACTGATTGGCAAAATAATCCTCATTCATCTCTATTAATTTATTATTTTAAAAATCACTACCATATTTATATATGTGCAATATTAAATGTTATTCTGTCTCAGGCAGATTAGATCCATGTTTAGTTGTGAATGAATGACCACTGAGAAGCACTTTTAAATTAAATGTATTCTATAATTGTAGATAAATTTTCCATTGTGTCTCACAAGAACACAGATACATACACTCATCATACCATGATAGCACTGCATTTGTGTATATTTGAGTACATGGGGAATGCTAGCAAATTTATTTAACACAGAGGACAACAAACAAATTTCTTCATATTGATGCTTCAATTCAGAATGCGCAATACTATTGACATTTGGCCTCAGGCTCTGACCAGAACTGTTACCATAGAGAAGTGTTGTTGGAATCTGGCTTTCCTAGATGAAATGTTAGACACAATAGCCAAATGCAGCTTTATATATTAACAGATGCTAATGGGGGTTGTAATTTAGACCAAACCACTTTGATACAATTTGGGAAATTTAGTTCTTCTAAATAAATGACACAACTTTATTGAAAGACACAAAAGATGTCAACATATATCATGTTCTTATATAGGATTACTTAATATAATTAAAATGCCTATCATCTCAATTTAATATATAAAGTTAATACAATTTTAATTAGAATTGCAAAAAATGTTGGAGAAAATCATTCTAAAATTCATTAGAAGAATAATTGTTTGGTAACTGCAGAGATATTCTGTAAAAGTTGGCTAATAAGAAGGTTTTATCTATTCAGATATTAAATCTTACTTAAATGCTATCTTAACTAAACTAGTATGGTAAAAACTAACAGTGAAACAAAGATTAAAAATAGATTCGAGTGTGTATTAGAACTCAGTATACGATAAACAACATTCTACTTTAGAGTGCAAAAGATAATCAATAAATGTTTTAGATACATATGATTATCTATTTGTTAATACATAAAGTTAGAGACCCTCTTTACATTATATTCAAAATAAATTTCAAGTAACTTAGTGGTCTAAATGTACATAAGACAATAAAGATTTTCAAAAAAAATTTGAAGATATTTTTGTAAGCTTGATGGTACAGAAGATCTTCTGAAACATAACTTAAAAATCAGAAGCCAAAAAGAAATAAAATTTACATATTTGTCTATAAGAAAGTTAAAATTTTCAAACAAAAGGCAGCAAAAAACAAGCCAAAATACAAATAATAAACTGAAAGAAAATACTTATCAAAGTTATAGTAGCCAAAAAGTTCGTAAATGTGAAGAGTTCTGCAAACTAAAAAGTAAAGAACATATTAGAAAATGGTAACTTAAAAAAGCAAAGAACATGAACAGAAATTTGGTAGTAAAGAAACTGCAAATCCCAACCTCAGTTATAAGGAAGATATGTAAATTAAAATATGAAGACTTTTTCATTCAACAACAATATTAAAAGCATGTTAATACTATCTAGTGTTCTGAGAAATGGTTAGAAATAACAACTTTAACAGAATTTCGTTGGGAATATATATTGTTAAAGCTTTATTGAAGGGTAATATATGAAATATTTTAATATTAAAATAAGCCTATTCTTTCACCTTATGATTTCACTCTTACAAATTTGCTTTACTGAAATATTTGCCTATGAGTACAGAGCTGTAAGTCTAAGGATGTTCAATACAATACTGCTTCTAATAACAAATGATGATAAATAATACAAATGCTTATTAATAAATGGTTGAGCAAATTACAGTTTGTCCATATTATAAAATAATAGGTGTCAGTCACTATATATTTAAAAGAAGTAAAAAAGTTGTAAAGTAGCATATACAGTGTGGTCTTTTTTTTTTTTTTTTGGCTGAAAGTGCATTTAGCAAAGAACTAAGATATAAAACTGTTAAATATACATATGATATACACACACATCAGAAATAATTTGGCAATAAGTTAACACTAGCAATGCCTGGGGGTTGGGTTATTCGATTTTTTTTTTTTTTTTTTTTCCCCCTTTTCTTTACTCCTTATCCAGAAGCAGGCGCTATAATTGTCACGGGATCCTTGGGATGTCGATTTGCCAGCCAGAAACCTCTGTGGCAGGCGGCACCTTCTGCCTGAGTATTGCTCGCGCCCACTGGGCTCGTTCCGCCCACTTGGCCTGGCAGGCTGCGCTTGGCTCACACTACTGGCCTGGATCTCACACCTGCCAAGGGGGTGCCAGGCACGGAGTGGCAAAGAGTGTATGAGCCAATGAGCATGGAGTCCGGCCACTGTGCACAGTCAGGTATGCTAGCTGCTGTGGCAAGGCAGACAGCTCCAGGCACCAGCACAAGTGCCAGCTCCATGCAAGGCTGTGACTGGACCAAATGTACCACACACGGCTTCAGCTGCAGGCACCTGCATCTGGATAAAGGGAACACAGTAGCACTGGGAAGCTTGGAGACACTAGGAACCAAAGAGCCTCAAAGAGGGTGTCACAGCCCTGGCTTGGGGAGCCCCTAGGTCTGGGCTCCTTGAAGGGCTGCAGTTCTTCTCTCCTTCTCATCACCCATAACATGGCAAGCTGCGGAGGTGCGTGTTTCCGCCCTGTTTGTGTTGCAGGTCTTTCAGTTCCACCATTTAGCAGGTCCTAAGTTCTTGTCCACATCCAGGAAAAATGAGGTTCATGGATAATTTGAGGGTGACTAAGGTGGAGAGGAGACAGAACAGCTTCATTGAGAGACAGAACAGCTCTCAGAAGAGCCCAAGTGAGTAGCTGCTTTCTGCAGGCAGGTTGTCCTGACAAGACAAGGGCACCCGAATTGCGTAGTTCTTTCCCACAGAGGTCTCTGAGGTCTCTGTGAGTCTGGTTGAGCCTGGGGTTTTCATGGGCTTCAGATGGGAGGAAGTGTGTGCGGATTGGTCCATGGGCAGCCATGAGTGCATCTGGAAAAAGCACCATGAGTTCTCACTGTATGCCACGGACTGACAGCCTGGCCTCCACGCTTCAGGCCGTTCTTGGCTTGAAGGTGAGGTTTCATGGGGAACCTGCCCCTTTCTGCCCAGGAGCTTGTCTGCTTACTGCCGCCATTGATCGTGCCGTCCACAGAGCCTGCAGGCCCACATGGAGCCACCTCAGCGCCCACTCAGCCTCCCTCCCATACTCATGTGCTCCCAAAGTACAGAGGGGGGCTGAGGCGGCAGGGGCTGGCCTGTCAGCACCACCCTAAGCGCATGCACATCCAGCTGGGACGTGACAGCGCCCAGGCTCAGCCTCAACTTTGCTCTAAAATCAGAGTGGGGACCGGGAGCAGAGAGAGGCCAGACAGTGGGGACACGCATTTCTGAGCCTGTGGGGGCCATGGCTGGGGAGGGACACTTCTCAGCCCCTGAGAGCACAGGGAAACCCAGGTCACTGCTGGGTGGCTGCACAGTTGCACCCAGGAGGAGGAGGCCTCCAACCCTCCAACTCTGAAAAGCGCTGGGCTCCTGCCTGTTCCTGGCTCCAACTGGCTCTGTGGAGTGCGCAACCCCAGCTGTGCCTCGCCCGCTGCAGCTGGCGTCTTCTCAGTGGCCGCTCCAGACAGGCTGCTGCTGCCCTCATAATGTAATATGAAAGTATCAATATTTATCCTTTTAACTTACTAAGGGAAGCAAATACGTTACTATTTGCTAAAAACTTTCAAAATTCTTGGGGTGAGGGTGGTATATGAAAGCACAAAGCAGTTAGCTACAATAAGTTCTGATTTATTAAAGAAATAAACATTTACTAGGAAAAGCAGCTTGGAATAACTGAAATTCATCCAGTTACCGTTCTTTTTTTTGAAAAGACCAAACAATTTTGGAATAACTCCACATAGACGAAACAATGTAAATTGCCATGGCTAAAGCCAGAACTCTTGTAATGTCTGTTAAAGTGACAGGTAATTTGAAAGCTGAATGAACCAGTGCCCATTCACTGATGCAGGTAACAATATAGGACTCTCCATGTGTCCACATGTCTTCACTGATGATTAGAGGTACAAACATGGAGAAGAGTGTTCCAACCCCTAAGGTTTCATCTGGGGGCTAAAATAACATTTGTCTATTAAAAATCATTAGGGAAATTTTTAAACAAAATAAAGTTGCCTAAATATACAATTCAGAAGTCTCAGTGCTAGCAAATATCAGAAAAGAGAGTAAAGCTATCAATATTAGACCCCTCCAATGTGTGGGGAACAGGGCAGGTGACATAGATTGTTAAATCAAGTTTAGCCTAAAGCTGCCTCTGTACATCTCTTAAATTCAGCCCAAAGATTTTCCTGTACATTATGAACTATAACAAGTGGAGTTGTAAACAGACCATAGCCTACATTTCTGCCAATCATTGAGTTTTGGCCAATTAAATGTAGCCAACTCTTTGAACTGAAAGTCTCCTTTACTCCTTCAAGTGATACTCCTACCTCAGCCTCCTGTGTAACCAGGCTTACAGGCCTGTGCCCCCACGACTGGCTCGTGTGTGTGTGTATGTGTGTGTGTGTATTTTTAGTAGAGATGGGGTTTCACCATGTTGGCCAAGCTGGTCTTGAACTCCTGACCTCAAATAAGGCAAAGAGCAAGTTGTAACCAATCCAGTTGTTTCTGTACCTCACTTCCATTTTATGTATGTCACTTTCCTTCTTCTGTCCATAAATCTTCTTCCACCAATTGACTGCACTGGAGTCTACCCTAGCTGGGAAGGCTGCCCAATTCGCAAATAGTTCATTGCTCAATTAAACTCCTTTAAATTTAATTCAGCTAAAGTTTTACTTTTGTCAATATTTATCTTTTCATTTGATCCTTTTTAAAGATGCACTCATGGGTGACTCAGAGAGGTTAAAGGGTTCTATTTTGTGGTTTTGATTGTTGTTTGACATAGGTTCTCTAAGTCAGTAAATGGAGTATATTGAATTTCTACTGACTATTGAGTTTTTTATCCAGCTGACTCACTAATTTCTTAGAGTATTACTTTTCTTTTCTTGGAATTTCTTTTTCTAAAGTGTCACCTACATATAATGCTAAATTTTCTACTGTTTTATTAAAAAGTTATACTGCTTATGCTATTATTATTCTTGCATTAGTCAGAATCTTCAAAACAATAAGAATACAAGCAGTGATCAAATTACATTTTCTGATTTTGTCATTTATGCTTTAAAAGTTGTACTGTTAATTACATTGTTTACTGTTACATTCAAATAAATTGCCTTCATCATAGTAAGAAAGTTCTCTTTACTCCTATTTTACGACAAATTAAAAAAAAAATAGAAACGGCTGCCAACTTTTATCAATGTTTTATCTTTATAATCCATATGTAATCATGAAATTTTTGGTATTATTTATACTTTAAAATGTATTTGGTGACTTTATTTTATTTTCTCTTGTATTAATCTCACCTCATATTGACACTTAATTTTCCTCTAGGATCTTTTGATTCATTTTATTGTTCCTTTTCTTATTTTCTTCAGTTTGAGACAATTTTATTTTCAATTTTTATTTTTGATAATAAAAGCATTACATCTGCAATTTCCTCTGAATGTAGTTTTAGCTGTACCTATGTTTCTTTTTAAAAATCTTTTACATTTTATTTTATTTTAGATTCAGGAGGTACATGTGCAGGTTTGTTAAGTGAGTATATTGCATAAGTTTCTAGATGAAATGTTCTATTTTTTATTGATTTCAGAGTAATCTATAATTTCAGCTTTTGTTTCTTTTTAAATGTAGGGTCTCTTTTAAAAAGAAGTGTCATTTCCTTTTCAATGGCTAAGCCTTTTTGCTTGTTTGGGGTTTTGTTTTGCTCATGTGAGCTTTTCCTTTGACCTTGAAATCAAATTAACCAGACAGTAATAGTCCCTCCTCTTCTTTCAATTAGTTCGCTATTTCCTGATACGTTATTCACCTACATTTTGTTTAAAAATAATCTGTCATTGGTTTTAGGTATATTCATTTATAAGCAGTGTATAGGTGAAATTTGTTTTTCGACTAATTTGAGAGCCTATCTTTTCATATGATACTTATCCACTCATATTAATTTTGACAACGTATATGATAGTTTTATTTTTCTCATACTATACTTACTTTTATATGTTTGGTTTTGGTCCTTTCTTTTTTCTGCTTCCTTACTTTTGTTATATTCTTCTTAAATATTCCTTTCATTCTTCATAATAATGTAGGAATCCCACCACCCATCTCAATCAACTATTTATCATCTTTCCTTTATTTAAATAATATTTAAACCAGTAGTCTTCAAAAATTAAATAAGACCATACTTCTCTATCAACTGTTTACTATTATTTCACTCCCTTTACAATTCAATGTTTGTTTCACTAAAATAATGTAGAATTGGAGTGAACTCTGTGTTAACTCTCTGTGTTAACTTCCGAGAGCTACTTGAAGCAAACCTTGTTACAGTCATAAATATTTATTTATTTATTTTTGAGATGGAGACTTGCTCTGCTACCCAAGTAGATTGCAGTAGCAGTGTCTTGGCTCACTGCAGCCTCAGCCTCCTGAGTTCAAGGGATTCTCCTGCCTCAGCCTCCTGAGTGTGTGCCCTGACAACTGGCTAATTTTTTTTTTTTTTTTTTTGTATTTTTAGGAGAGGTGGGGTTTCACTATGTTGGCCAGGCTGGTCTTGAACTCCTGACCTAAAGTGATCTGCCCACCCCAGCCTCCCAAAGCACTGCGATTATAGGCATGAACCATCATGCCTGGCCACCATACCTGTTTCAAAAAATAAAATGAAATTTCTGTAATTTCCCTCAAGTTTATCAATGTTGAAGTAGAGCTTTTCATACCAGTATTTATTCATTACTGTTCCAACAATAATCCAGGTGATTGTACAGAAGAATCTTTCTTTTTTCTTTTTTTTTTTGAGACGGAGTCTTGCTCTGTCGCCCAGGGTGGAGTGCAGTGGCCGGATCTCAGCTCACTGCAAGCTCCACCTCCCAGGTTTACGTCATTCTCCTGCCTCAGCCTCCTGAGTAGCTGGGACTACAGGCGCCCGCCACTACGCCCGGCTAGTTTTTTGTATTTTTAGTAGAGACGGGGTTTCACCGTGTTAGCCAGGATGGTCTCGATCTCCTGACCTCGTGATCCGCCCGTCTCGGCCTCCCAAAGTGCTGGGATTACAGGCTTGAGCCACCGCGCCTGGCCAGAAGAATCTTTCAATTTCATTTTAAAGTTTTCAATCCATCAGTTGTTTTCTTTCAAATATTGTTTGCCTTCCATGTTTTATGAAGTTGAATATTTACCCTTGCCTATCCAGAGAGAAGCATTATAAACAATTTTTACAAATGAGTGTTCCATGCTCCAAGTTATAAGTTCTAAAAAATGAAAATTCATTTGAAATATCCTGTTTGAGAATGAATAGATGGCAAATAACAATGTAATTTTAAAGCAATCTTTAATGAGTCTCTATTCAATGGTAATATATTATTTTATCAGTGTTATATTAAGATCAGCAGGATCTTTCTATTTTTTCTTCATAATTTGATAAGTGAAAGGTGGTCTGTTCTAAAGTTCAAATATATTTTTACAAAGGCATGAAATTCTAATACTCATTTCGTCAGAATTATTATTATTGGTTACCCATTTCAGTGATAAGAAGTAAATTACAGCCTACCATTTCTAGTTGTAATCACCTAACTGGATATGTTTAAAAGTGTGTTTAGAGAAAATAAAGAAGGAAAGAAAAACTGGATAAAGACTACACAATGTGCAACTTACTAAGTGAAAGTCAGAAGAAGGAAGCCTCTGTTAATGAATTGTACTAAGAAATGACTTGGATTCAGAGAGCGATGGTAGAGCTGCCTCAAAATCCTCCTCTGGTTCAAACTCCTTATAGGCTATTTCTAATGCCTTAAAAGCATCTGTTACCACATGTCCTACCAAACATGCCAATAATTCAGACAAGAAAATTTCCTAACTCTACACATTGCATGCCAAGTGAAAAGCAAATCATACTCAATCTTGCAAAATGCAAAGACAACAAAATGAATGATCCTATGTAAGCATAGAACCCGATTACCAAATAAAAATAGGGTCAATGAGAATGGTAAGCCAATGTGAAGTAACAGGAGAAGTAAGAGTCAAAGGATGCCAAGGAGAAAAAGTTGAGGCTGGACAGAATTCCTTTGTTCTCCAGTAAAAGAACTGAGAGTAGTTTTTCAGGAAAACTTCAGAGTCTAGGCTTGAGCAAGTAGGGAAGCAATGAATAAAAAGACATTAACATCTTTTCTGAGCCTCCTCACAATCTGCACCCTGTGCTTCCCCTTTGCTGAGACTCTAGTTTCAGGGCAATCCTGTGGTAACCTTTTACCCTTAACAGTGGTGGAGGAGTAATGTACTCCCACTTCCCAGCTATATCAGAAATACAATTTTTGGTATCCTTGATGACTCTTTTTCTGATTATCCATTCATTTTCCTGTGCTATCCATGAGTTTCCTGCATATTATCATTGGGATTCTACATCTATTGAAGCATCTATATTTGAATTAAGGTAAAATTCTGCACCACATGCCAAAATCTCAACCTCAATGCATCAGCCACTAGATAAATAATAACAGAAGGCACTCTTTTGATATGATATTTTCTTTTTTTGTCCCTCACAAAATACAGAGGTCAGTTCGTAATATTGGAATTTCTATTTCTCCCTGTAATCTTGTCCCTGTGGCTTTGTCTGGTGTTTCAGCCAATGGCCAGCAGTCAGACAGTCTTTTGACCTAATCTGTCTAGAATACTTGGCCAGTCTGAGTGATGTTATTTCTATCAGGTTGAACTCTTACAAACGTGTTCAGATTGAAACAGCAGATAGAAGATGGAAATGGGAAACTTATCACTCACCCCTTGAAATAGCACTATTTCTTTACAAATGGCACTGTATTTATTTGTTTTCACACTGCTATAAAGAATATTTGAGACTAGGTAATTTAGAAACAAAAGAGGTTTAATTGATTCACAGTTCCACATGGTTGGAGAGGCTTCAGGAAACTTACAATCATGGCAAAAGGTGAAGAGAAAACAAGACAGTCTTACATGACGGCAGGCAAGAGGTGAGAGAGAAGGAAAAACTCCCACTTTTAAAACCATCAGATCTCATGAGAACTCCCTTACTATCATGAAACCACTCCCACGATCCAGTCACCTCCCACCAAGTCCCTCCTTTGACACATTGGTATTACAGTTCACGATGAGATTTTGATGGGGATACAGAGCCAAACCATATCAGGTACAAACCAACCAGCCCACCCAAATACTATCCTTTAGCAATTTATGCAGATTATCTCTAGAAAATTAGTGAAGACCTGCAAATCCCAAAATGACCTACATCATAAAAACTTTGGCTAGGCTTGATGAGGCTATTGCCTTTGTTAGCTTTGATTAAGCTAAAAAGAAACATGCTTATCTTGAGTTATGATAACCCCCATCCACCCATCATGCATATTTGGCTTCTAAATATGTTTAGTTCTAAATATGTGTAAAGTATCTTAAAGTAGGCTTCTCACTCTACTTCGCTTTTTCTTGCTTTTCTTGAGAATAAAAATGTTTTCAAAATAAAAAGTT